TTTTATGGAATTAGCATCATCACTCCTTTCATCTAATCTCCTCATTTTACACAGAAGGAAACTGCCAATGAGAAGTGATCTGGGTTAGTGCCTGAGGTCACACGGGTGTTTGTCAGTGGAGTGACTGCCACAAACAGACCAAGGGCCACCTATTTTTAGCCAAGGCTTTTATGGGGGGAGGGGGCATGAAACCAGTCGCTAAAATGGAGTTGCCCTCTTATATTTGAGTCATTAGGCCCAGATGAAGGCTAGGCTTCAGATGGAGGTGATGCAGGATACGGCAGCGTCAGTGGAGAGAGCCGTGGCCATCAGACATTCTGATTAAAAGCAACAGGGATGCAGCCAGAGAAGAGGTGCCTTGAAAAAATGTTTTATGTTAAACGGATCCTCAAGGAGTTGAGAAAAGGGCACATAATCAAATGTATTAATAGCCTCACCAAGGAACATGGTGATTTGGGGCCAACTTGTTTAAGTAAACGTTTCCAGAAAAGAAGGGACTCACTATATAAAGAGGAGGAAGGAATCAGGATATTTTGGAGACAGCAAAGCTCTCTTTGTCAAACAAAAGCTAGGAGAGACGAAGTCAGTAAATGTTTGGGCCTACACAGTAAAAACAGGGGTTAGCATCCATGATCTCCTCCAAAATATCATTCACTTACTAACCGGTAAAAGAAAATTTCTCTCTGGCCTTGCTTGGCAGTCATCTCTTTCTGCACAACAGATTCCTGAGTGCTGACCTTCTCTCAAATCTCTATTTCTTTCCCCAAACCCATGGAGAATTAACCAATAATACACAGCCATTTTAACAGTATGAGGAAATTGCTATAATCTGTAAAGAGAGTGGAAATGACTAGGTTTGCAACATCGAGTTGCATCAAGCACTTTCAAGCTCTTCATCTCAGGAGCTCTAGAGTGGAAGAGAGCATGGATGACACAGGAGGTCCTGAGTCCTTCCCCAGCCCTGGAGAAAACCGCAGAGGCTGAGGCTGACAGACGCCCCGGGAGAGGGCATGGCGGGGCGGGCAGGGCGGGCGGGGCGAGGCCGAGGGGAAGGGGAAGGGAAGCAGCTCGAGGTCAACTTCTGGGATTCAAGAATAGATTCTGGTACTAATTAGCTGTATCTGATTTTAGGCAGATCATAAACTCCCCAGGGTCCCAGCTCCCCGTTTGTAAAATGAGGTGACCCAACTCAGTTTTCCTCCTTCCAGCGCTAAAATCCCACTAAAAATTTTCCAATCCAGAGCAAACATCAAGCCTGTGTCTGAAGGGAACCATCTGCATCTCAGTAATATTCCGCCCTTAAAGGGAAAGTGGGGAAGAACATTAAACTCGAACAGCTTTGGCAGGGTCATGAGGCGAGCGAAGGTGGGGAGGTCAGTACCTGCTCCCGGACGCCAAAGGGGTTTTGAAAACAGAGAATGTCAAGTTTCTACAATTCCCCATGTCACTATTCAGATGCCACACTATCGTGTCATTAAACACCTTCTTACCCTCTACGAATTCACTGCCTAGAGACCTGCCATTTTGTAGATTCCACAATAAAGCCCCTGGAGGTGAGAGAGGACGGGTGTCACCACCCAGTCGCGGATTTCAGGCTTTTCACCACGGTGTCCCTCAGCTCCTCACTGTCTCTGCTTTAGTTTCTTTTCCAAAAAGTGAGGCAGCTGCTAGGTCAGTCTCGGAGACCCTCTTCCACCTCGCGCATCCTCGACTAGTAAAACCTGGTGGCATGCAAACACCCCAAATGTGTTACAATAAAGAAATAGCATTTGATAATTACAGGGGGATCCTGTGCGAACTTTCAATTCATGGATGACTCTGATACAACATGGAGGAATGACAAAGCACAGGAAAGGGGAAGAAAAGGCAGACCTGGGTTCTAAATGGGAGGGAGGGAGGGAGTGAGGGCAGCAGCCCCAGTAAGGGAAGAGCAGCCCGAGCGCGGTGAAACGGCGGAGGGGCGGCCGCGTAGCCGCGGGACCCAAACCCAGCTGCCCCATCCCCCCCACGCCATTGTCTGGCACAGGCACAAGGTCTGGGGGCGGGGCCCGCATGCGCACTGGCGCGCTGCGCCAACCGCCACCGCTCCCGGAGGCGGCTAGGACCGGCGGAATCCGGTTAGAGCCAGCGGTGCCCGCCCGCGAGCCGGCGCCTCACAAAGGGAGGCGGCGGCTCACGGCCCGCGTATCCCTACGCCGGGGGGGGGGTTGTGGGGTACGCTCTTGTGCCGCACCCTTCCCCCAGCCTTTGTCCCCGTCCTGCACCTACAGGCCATTCGGGCCTCCGGGCAAGCCGCTCCCCGCAGTCCTTCCCGCGGCCCCGGCAGCCCGAGGGTTCTGGACGCGGAGCGGAGCTGGGCCGGGTGGAGCCGGAGTGGACGCGTCCCCCTCCCCCATGCCACCTCGCTCGGACGCGTCCCCCTCCCCCATCCCACCTCGCCCGGTTCTCCGCGCAGCCGCCTTAGCCGCGTGGAAACCCCTGTTCGGGAAGCCCCCGGCGCCATTGTTCCCAAATTCTGCCTCGCCCGGGAGCCGGAGTCTCCTTTTGCCGCCCCGGGAAACCTGCTTTTTCTCAGAATCCTTGTCACGCAGTGCTTAGTCACCTTTCCCTTTAGTCGGGAAACTCCAGGGGGTGGTTTGGAAGCAAAACTCAAACTACAGAAAGGAAAGGCTTTGGGTTTGGAGAAGAGCTTTTGTTTCCCTTGCAACTCCAGTTTAAAAAACCTTGGGAGTGGAGCCAAGCCAGACTTTATAAGCACAAACTTAGAAAAGCAAACCCATAAGCAGAGTTTTCACGAATATTTGAGAAAACGTTCCCAGACTGGCTGCCCAAGGTCGTCGTGTTTTTAGAGGCAAAACGTTTGGCATTTGGGGATCGAAGAGGACACTTAAACTTGGTTTTCACGGCCGATTTGGATTTTAAGAACTTTAACGAGAAGCTTGGAAGCATTCGAAACAGTTCACGTTTGGCCAGAACAAAAAGTAGGCATGATATAAAAAGGCAACCAAAAACCGTGGGGGTCTAGCTAGTATTTAGTAATTGCGAAGACGGGAACATTAAGCAAGTAACTAACACAAGTCCCCCCCCCCCCCCCCCCCCGGATGGGTCGCCAGATCTTAGCAAGCCGCCCCCCCCCCCCCCCCCTCCCCCGTTGGCTCGCCAGCGCTGATGCAGAGACAGCTGTACATTGCGGCTACTTGAGACATTTTCTACAAGTGGATTTCCACATTTAGTAGAATTCTTAAGCAGATAACCCGGAACGTTCGGGCTTCTCCAATCACAGGACAACCAGAACGTGTCCAGTATAACCTGAGAACCAACTCGCAGGACCTGAGGCGGTTTAGGAGGACAAACTGACACTTTGCCTAAGATGGCTGCGGTCTTTTTACCAGGCTGATGCTCGGTTATATAATAGAAATGAAGGCCGTCAGCAAACCCATTTTAACCTTCCTCCAAAAAGCACTAAACAGTAGCTACTGTACTCCCGAGAAAACATGAAAGGTATTTAAAAAGCTACTAAAAAATTCCCAAGTAATGGCTCTGAGTTTAGGGAAGCAGTTTGCTCTACTTAAATGTAATTTTGTTTTTGCCTAAATCTTCAGCTCAAATCTAGTTGCTAGTTAGTTTTGGACATTTCTGGGTACGCAGTCGGTAATCAACTTGCCTGCACTGTCACGAAAAATCTAGAAAGCCTTGGCAAGCTCGGTTCTATTTTTAACCCGTCCGAGGAACTATTTTTGCTTCCCTCACGAAGGCGGCGGAGGGTTATTGAGATCGCGGTGTGAGTTGCCTTTCGGCTATAAATACGCCTCTCCGGGGGCTCTGCGGCAGGCTTTCAGGCAGCGAGCGCAGAGACGGCTGGTGAGGCAGGAGGCACTGCTTGGGGAGACTGCAGATAAGTTTTTCTCTTAAAAAAAAAAGCCAGGAATAAATACAATTCCTTAGGAAGTGTAAATAGTGCTAATACTTATTATTGCATAGCATTAAATTTTTAGAGTAATCTTAAAAAGAACTTAAAGGGAAAATAATGAAGACCTTAAAGAGTAGCTTAAGAAAGAAAAAGCTCTTTCTAGACCCAGGCGGAGGTTAGGAGGTGAAACTTCTTAATGGAGTGGAGAAAACCCAATTTTTAAAGCTAAAAGGACGGCAGGACGTCAAAGTCCGGGATTCAAAAAATCCTTAAATCGAAGGGCAGCCTATTTTAGGTTAACGTTAAAATGTAAACGACCTAAATAGAGCTTAAGTGTCGTATTTTTTTTAAAAAAGACAAGTTGTAGATGACTTGTCTTTTCAAAAAGATTAACTTGAAGGTGATTTAAGAGCCCTACAAATTAATGGCGCAGTAATTTGCGTCATTTGCAACCTAGATCTTAAAGTATGACTTCCTAAAAACTGACAAATATTAGGAGTGGCAGGATGAAAATTTGGAGAGATTAGGAAGTTGAAGGGGAGAACTCAGAAGACAGAAGTACAGGAAGGTGAAGACTTAAAGACAAGTACAGGAAGGTGAAGAAAAGTTTTAGAGAAGATAGGAAAATTGGAAGAAAAATTACACGCCTTTAGAAGACAGAAAAATAAAAGCTTGAAGGCAGGAAGCAGAAGAAAAAATAAACTAGAAAAGGCAACTAAGGTCTCAGATAAAAGTTGAGAAAGCCAGAAGTTGGAAACGAGGTGGAAAACACGGGCAGGGAAAGTGTTTAAGGTAGAAAATGGAAAACAAGCTAGGACAACTATTGAATACAAGCGCACAAGATAGACTTCAAAAAAGAAGATAGAAAAGTTTAAGCCAAAAAATCGGATACAAGTATGAGAAAAAAGCTAAGGAGGAAATTAATTTTTAAATTCTTAGTGGAATTTCTCCTAAAAGCCCATGAATTTAAATTCTGGTGGTACAGAAGCTAGATTGGAGAAGATGAGGGTGTTAAAACTACCGTAGACCGGGACCATCTTAGAAGAATTAACCCGAAGCTAGAAAGGAAAGTTAAAAATCACAGTTGTACAGCTTTTGCTACTAAAAGGACTGAAGTTAAATTTAAGAACCCAGGTAGAATATTTCTGGAGAGTTAAAAACGTGAGTTTAAATACAGTAGCTTTTAGTGTCTTGGAGAATTTAAAGAACTTTACATAAGTAATTCAAGATCAAGAATTAACTACCACCTTAACATTTTCGCATTGGACTTTGAGCTAAGATTTTTTAAATCCTGAGGACTAGCGTTAATTGGCAGCTGACCCAGGTACTACGCAGAAGTGGATTCAGTGAATCTAGGAAGACAGGAGCAGCAGACAGGATTCCAGGAGCCAGTGTCGGTGAAGCTAGGACTGAGGAGCCAGCTGCAGTTCGTGGTGAAGATAGGAAGGAAAGCGAAGTCCGGGAGCCAGTGCGGTTTGGTGACGGAAGGAAGCTAGGAAGAAAGAAGGAGCCCTAACGATTGGAGGTGAAGCTAGGAGAGAGGATTCCAGGAAGGAGCCAGTGCGATGTGGTGATGAAGCTAGCGAGCGGCTTGGCAGCTTGGCTTGGCGACCACGCGGAGGCGGCGAGCAGGCGGTGTGGAGAATAGATAGCGGATCCTAGAGCAGCATCCCAGAGTGCGAGGCCGCAGGGAGAGCGAGTGGTGTGGGAAAAACCCGAGAGGTCGGCGAGGTCGGCTAACGTGCTTTTTGTAACTGGAGTATGGTAACCTTTCATTTGCTTTTCTAATGGTAACGGGGGAGTTGAGTACTGAAGCGCTAAGGGATTTATGGGGGTGTAGGCCGATTTCCGGGTGTTGTAGGTTTCTCTTTTTCAGGCTTGTTTTCTCATCTTGTCTGAAGCTTTTGAGGGCAGACTTCCAAGGCCCGGAGGAATGGTAGATGGCAAGTTTGTTTTTAACCAATTTGAGGGAAACCAAATGAATTTGATAGAACAACCTGGAGACTTAAGTTTTATAAGTTTTTATTTTTAGTTTGGGAAAATGAAGCCTTTCAGTTTTGTGAATAGATGACCTATTTTTCTTCCCTTACCCCGTATTAAAGTTTATACTGAATGTGGAGTTGGGTGTGTAACGGGGGGGTTGGGAATGGGGGGCAAAATATGTTTTGAGTTTTTTTCCCCTTAGGTCTGTCTAGAGTCCCAAAGGCAAATGACTCAAGGTAACAGAAAGAAAGAAAATCCAGTATCAGGATAATCAGAACACCACAGGTTTACAGTTTCTAGAAATAGAGCACGAGCAGCTCTCACTTTTCAGTTCTGTGGCGGAGCTCTCCATTGGAGAAATGGCTGGTAGTTCTCTTTTTTTCCACCTGTTTATCAGATTCTTAATACATAATCCTTTAAATTCACTATATTTACTTACTATTTTGGGGTGGCCTTACCAGGGAAGGGGGGTGGGGGAGAAAATTTTCTTTCTAAGATTTTCCACAGATGCTATAGTACTATTGACAAACTGGGTTAGAGAAGGATTATACTGCTATGCTGTTGGCACGAACACCTTCAGGGATTGGAGCTGCTTTTTTCCTTGGAAGAGTATTCCCAGTTGAAGCTGAAATGGTACAGCACAGTGCAGCTTTGGTTCATGTTCAATCTTCTCAGGAGCACTTCAGAAGAGCTTGACTAGGCCAAATGTTGAAGTTACGTTTACGTTTTCAAGTAATGTGACCTTTAACTTTTATTAAAGGGGAGGGGCAAATTTTGGCAGTTGGCCGTAGCCTGTTAATGGTTGGGATTTGGGAGGGTTGGGGTTAGGTAATTGTTTAGTTTATGATTTCAGATAACTCATACCAGAGAACTTAAGTACTTAGGATGGAAAAACTAAAGAAATCTCAACTTCCAAGTTGGCAAGTAACTCCCAATCCTCTAGTTTTTGTTTTCCCCCAATTTTTGAATTGGGCAGCTGGGGAAGTTCCTGAAGATCCACTGGATTCAGAGTGTAGGGCCTGGGGAAGGAGAGTATAGGACTGGGGGTTGGTCTAGCCCATTGGCTGACTTAGATAATATCTTGGGGATTTTTTTTTTTAAATGGCTAAAGTTGTTTGGATTTGGTAGTGTGTGGTTCTCTTTTGGAATTTTTTTCAGGTGATTTAATATAACTTAATACTACTTTAGGAGCTTCAGAGCAAAGGAAGTGGCTTAATGATCCTGAAGGGATTTCTTCTGATGGTAGCTTTTATATTATCAAGTAAGATTCTATTTTCAGTTGTGTGTAAGCAAGTTTCTTTTTTAGTGTAGGAAAAGTATTTTTCCTTTGTATGACTGCAAACAAGATGTTAAGGTATGCTTCAAAATTACTGTAAATTGTGTATTTTAATCATTTCTGATAAAGAGGGTGGGGTTTTGTGGATGAGGGAGGGGAAACCTTTTTTTTTTCTGTAGCCTTTTTTCAGATAACAACTTCTGAGGTCATAACCAGCCTGGCAATATGATGGCCTAGATGGAGAGGGAACAGCTCCTTGGTGAATGATAAGTAAAGGCAGAAAAGATTATATTTCATACCTCCATGGGGGAAAAAGCATAAGTCTGAGATCCTTAACTACTGATGAACGCGTTGTCTGCACATGCAAAAAAAAAAAAAATTAAGCAAATGAAACTACCAATTTAAAGTTAATGGAAAAAAAGAAAAAAGTAAAGATAATGGAATCTACCATTTTAAAAGTTATGGCCTATCAAGCTATACCCACCAAAAAAAGAATTGATGAGAAATAATATAATGAATTGATGAGAAATACAACGAAGATCAGATGTCCATCTCAAAATACTGCTTTTACAAAAGCAGAATAAAAAATGAAATGAAAATGATAATACCAACATTAATCCTGGAATAAAAGAAGCTGAAGTAATTCAGAGTGGGATCAAGTGGAATAAGGAGGCTGTGCTGTTTGCCAATCTTTCGTTTGCCTCAGACAGGTTTCTCTTCGTTATCAGAAGAGTTGCTTCATTTCATCTGGGAGCAGAAAACAGCAGGCAGCTGTTAACAGATAAGTTGAACTTGGATATGCAGTATTGCATGTTAGGGCTAAGTGCTTACATTTAATAAGAGCTGTGGAGGTCTTAAGTATTGAACATGGCTGTTTTTCCTGCTCCCTCTCCTGAGGGATTCTAGGGTTGTGAGGGATTTTCCTATCTAGCCTTTGTAAAATTACACAGGACTTGAACCTGTGGCTTGCATGATGGGATAGCATACCTCACTCAGGCCAAGTAATCTTTAAAAGCCTTGAAAGGTAGTACCTTAATAATCATAAGACAGTGTTTATAAAACAAATAATTTGTTGAGCACTGACTCTCTTAAATCCTACAAAAGGATAGCCTATCGTGCTGTTAACAAGAATCCGATGTTGTTAATCTTGATAAAACTTTAAATGTGTTATGATGTATACGTTGTGTAGAAAAAATTAAATCATGCAAAATAAAACATTTTAATATAGAGAATGTATGCTTTTAGAAAGCGGTCTCCTTATTTAAATAAAGTATTGTTTGTTTGTAGTTAGTGTTGGGCAATCTTGGGGGGATTCTTCTCTAATCTTTCAGAAACTTTGTCTGCGAACACTCTTTAACGGACAAGATCAGGAATTGAGCGGAAGAACGAATTTAACTTTAAGGCAGGAAAAATACTTTATCCTTCGTAAAGTGATGAGCATTTAATAATTCCAGGCACATGGCAATAGAGGCCCTCTAAATAAGGAATAAATACCTCTTAGACAGGTGGGAGATTATGATCAGAATAACAGGTAACTGCACCTACACTATTTCCAGAAAGTTAGGGGTCTATAAATTGACAGTGGTAGAGTAATAAAATACTGCCCACATTTCCAGAGTTTGCATGTTAACTTTAAATGCTAATAATCATCTCCTCTGGTGTTAGCCAATGTTTACACAATTGGCCTTTATATTTGGTGGGGGGCGTGTGGGTTTTTAAAGAATTTTCCTTTGCAGAGGCTTCATTTCACATCCTTCATGGAGCTGTTCAGGATTTTGACTTGCATATAAGCGCTTGGCTCTGCCTTCTGTTCTCCTAGTGAGTGTGTGAGACCTGGCAGTGTATCAGCATAATACTCAAGTAAAGTTTTCCCCCTGATTTTGGAGGGAAGGGAGGAGGGGGTGGGGCTTACTTGTTTTAGCTTTTTTTTTTACAGACCACACAGAGAATGCAGTTGTCTTGACCTCAGGTCTGTCTGTTCTGTTGGCAAGTAATGCAGTACTGTTCTGATCTGCTGCTATTAGAATGCATTGTGAAACGACTGGAGTATGATTAAAAGTTGTGTTTCCCCAATGCTTGGAGTAGTGATTGTTGAAGGAAAATCCAGCTGAGTGATAAAAGGCTGAGTGTTGAGGAAATTTCTGCAGCTTTAAGCATTCGTGTTTGTGATTGAAGCCAAGTACCTTTTGCTGTGCTTCTTTAGGTAAAATGCTTTTTGTTCACTTCTGGTAGGGGGGTGGGGGGGCACTGAAGCCTTTAGTCTTTTCCAGATGCAACCTTAAAATCAGTGACAAGAATTAAATTCCAAACAAGCAACAGTCTTCAAGAAATTGGCAAGTGGAAATGTTTACCAGTTCAGTGATCTTAGTGCATTGTCTTTGTGTGGGTTTCTCTCTCCCCTCCCTTGGTCTTAATTCTTATACGCAGGAACATTCAAAACAGCAGACGTATGCGAAGGGCCAGAGAAGCCAGACCAGTAAGGAAAAAAATAGCTTATTTACTTTAAATAAACATTCCATTTTAAATGTGGGGATTGGGAACCACTAGTTCTTTCAGATGGTATTCTTCAGACTATAGAAGGAGCTTCCAGTTGAATTCACCAGTGGACAAAATGAGGACAACAGGTGAACAAGCTTTTTTATATATTTACATACCAAGTCAGATCCATTATGAATGATCTAGTGTTAAACAGACTTTTCAGCTTTATGCTGGAATAAATAGCATGTGAGCAAGCTGTTTGTTGGCCTGGGGGTGGAGGGGTGAGGTGGGCGCTAAGCCTTTTTTTAAGATTTTTCAGGTACCCCTCCCTAAAGGCACCGAAGGCTTAAAGTAGGACAACCACGGAGCCTTCCTGTGGCAAGAGAGACAACAAAGCGCTATTATACTAAGGTCAATAAAAATGGTGTCGGCCTCATAACCCCATCTTCTGCTAGAAATGAGGACTTGCCTCAACACCCTTGGCACTGAGGCTCTCTTCGGGGAATGGAGCATCTAAAGGAATGTTTTTTTGAGTTACCTCCTATATCCTTGGGCTTGTCCTGTCCTGACATTTAATTACGCTGCTTTTATAGCAGCTCTTCAAAAAGCCCAAACCTCAAGTGATGGTTGAAGGGGAGGGAAACGGGGAAAGCGGGCAACCACTTTTCCCTAGCTTTTCCAGAAACCTGTTAAAAAGCAAGGTCTCCCCACAAGTGACTTCTCTGCCACATCGCCACTGCCTGCCTTTGGCCTAGCGCAGACCCTTCACCCCTCACCTCGATGCTGCCAGTAGCTTGGATCCTTGAGGGCATGATCCGTAATCGGTTTCAAGGTAACTGGTGCTGAGGTCTTATGGTGGGTTGCACTACTAGAGAAGGCCATTAATTTGCCTGCAAATAGTTAATGTTATTAAAACCACAACTAAAAGCTCTACGATGTTTAAATATGTAACACCCTTATCCCATGATTAAAACACTTAAGCCAGTGAATGGAGAAATAACGTTTGAGGCTGTAATGCTGGGTGGGAAAATACACCTTACTTACAAACTGAAGAAGATAGGAAATTTTAGTCTTGAGGACTGTTGGGGTGGGATTGCAAAAATTCTCTGCTAAGACTTTTTCAGGTGAACATAACAGACTTGGCCAAGCTAGCATCTTAGCTGAAGCAGATTCTCCAGTGTTCTTCAGTAGGGTCGTAAAGGTTTTTCTTTTCCTGAGAAAACAAAAACTTTTGTTTTCTCAGGTTTTGCTTTTTGACCTTTTGCTAGCTTAAAAAAAAGCAAAAGATGCTGGTGGTTGGCACTCCTGGTTTCCGGGACGGGGTTCAAATCCCTGCGGCGTCTTTGCTTGACTGTCATCTGTCTTCGGCCTGTTTCCATTTTCCCCTTCTCTATATATAGGAGCTAGTCTTTGGGGCTTGGGGGAGGTGGAAAAGAACTTTGTTGAATTTGTCAGAAACCTAAATCCATATTTATGTGGGAACCTAATCTCTAATTTTCAGGTAGTCCCCATGCATCTAATGTTTAGAGAATCCTTACCATAGAAAACTTAAAATTTCGTATTAATAAAAATAAAATTGAAAAGCTCTTCATTGGTGTGATTCTTTTGTGTATGAACCAAACTTCTGTCCATGAGCAGTTAAGGGAAGATGGGGTGTTTTGTTGGGTTTCTCCACCTTGATGCTGGTTACCATGATAACAGCAAGATCTTCAGTTAGTGGGAGGGACTTGGAAAGTGCTACAGGGTCAGCAACCTAAAGAACCCAGTAACTTTACCCACAGAAAAAGCTTGCTTTGTACTGTGGAGCAGTTGGTGAGCTGGGCCAGGGTGTAAACAGCTGGGGGACAGAGGAAAAGACCATTGCTTCTGTGAAAAAGCTCTTGCAGGCCTAGGGGCACTTTGTGCTAATAAAGCAAGCCCTGTGTGGTGGTCTCTCTGAAGTCTTAGATTACTCCAGATTATCATCTCTTTAATCCGTTCCCAGTTCCCAAAACAAGCTGATCCTGTGGTCCCATTCTGTGGAATGGTCTGGCTAACGTGATCTTCCCTCAGTTGCAACTAAAATGTTGAAATCTGCCTTTGTGCACACACAGCACACACACCGGCCCTAAGTGAAATACTCTTGGGTCTTAACCTGGCTGCTAAGTCCCTGAGGTGTTCCTGGTTCTACTCCTAACTGACCCTATTGCCTGAAGGGATGGGAGAGGCTCATTCCACCCAGTTAAAGAGGGGTGGGGTCCCAGGTCTAAAGAAGATACACCCAGCAGAGGCCTCCCATCCTGGGCCACCCGATGGCCACACTTCGGCCAGTGCAGGGGCCTCGGTGAACAGAACTCACTTCTCCATTACTGTACTCTAAACTCAGAGGAAGGTGTTATTGGAGAAGCAGGCTTTGGGTCACTTTGCAGAGGCAGCGGGGCGGGGATTTGATCCCTGGTCAGTCTCTCAACACTTCAACTCTGTTGCTGTTTGTTCAGCGCATGAACATCTGACATGAAACCACAGTCCAGATAGGTCAGCAGCAGGAAGCCTCCAACCTACGCAGCGTTGTGCAGGCAGAGTGACTTTTTCTTCCCTTGTGATCTAATAGAGGCAGGGCATAGGGAGAGGCTGAGCCATGATCCCCTGAGCCTGATTAAGTGCCTATTCTGAATTGCTGTCTTAATGTCTTTTGGACAAAGGTCTTCGGTGTTTTTCCAGAGTTGAAAGGCTCCCTGGAAGCACAAGACTTCATTGGAGAGCAAAGTAGTAAGAGAGGAAGGCCTCGCATGTATTTGCTAGGGGCTACAGGGTTCCTGGTGCTGAGCAGGTTTTATTTTATTTGTTTTAAATATTTATTTGACAGAGAGCAAGAGAGGGGACACAAGCAGGGGGAGTGGGAGAGGGAGAAGCAGGCTTCCCGTGGAGCAGGGAGCCTGATGTGGG